TAAGTAAAACTGTTTGGAGAGGATACAAATGGTGTAGAGCCATGAATGGGTCCTGAATGTGATGATTCCTCTCTGCAAGTATTGGATAGCGACTGACAGATTTTAATACGACATGAGGTGCTCATACAATACGACCAGTGAATGTACAGATAAAGAATGAGTTCTTGCATGCCTCAACTATCTATAAAAGAGCTAACCTATAGTTTTAAGAAGTGAAAAGATGGTCATAATCATCCACACTCCAGCTGCAACATGACAACTGAGTGAGTTATTCCACCGTACCTGGTTCTGACGGACTGAGACTAAGTCTGATGATAGAAATTAGTTATAGGACTCAGCTGAATAGACTTCTGTCTTGATAGCAACGGAGGGGCAAGCGCCCTGGCTCCTGAAAGCAAAATTTAGAAAAACGGGAATTGCCAATGAGTAAGAATATTCCTATGATAAAATGCTATAAAAGCCAAAACAGCAACCAAAGAGCTTACGGAAGAGATAAATAGAGTATACTGAAACAAAAGGACAGCTCAAAGTGGTTCTCACAGCTAGAATGGCTGGATAAAAAGACAAGATTGCTCAGCCAGTCCTTCTTACAAAAATCCGCCATTTTACCACCAACTCAGGTGCGCGTTAATTAGAAAAATTTCATTGAATAAGGTCCATTCTACATTTTGACTTCCCTCCATCTCTTAGTATCGTGATACTGCAAACGAATTGCAGCTGTTTCTGAGTCGCCATCTTGATGTACTTGGTTCTCCTCATATCACTACAGAGGATGTCATTCAGTTAGCTCTTGCTACTCCATCAGACAAGCTCTATGAGATTGCTAGAGGAGTAGCTAGTAGAAATACTAATACACTCTGGCTGGACTGGTGGTGAGTCAAGCAGAATGAATGGAATGATACAGCCAAACTTACAATAATGAAATACTTCTCTTTAACAAGCACATCTAAATAATGGAAATAAAACTACTAAATTTAAAACTTATCTTTTAAAAGCATCTTTTTGTACATAGTGAAGAAATTTTAGTCTCAAAAGTTTCATTATTTGGAAGTTCCACTTATAGTATCTGTCAAGTAGTTTTTTCATTTTCTATTTTCTGGTTTTCCTCTTTAGTAATCGTAGCTCTATTAATCTCCCGACTGCGTTCCTCCAGTTGCAGCCACACAGGAACGAAGACATGAGATACTGTCAGTTCTTTAATGGTGGATCCAGTGTATTATCATGCTCATCCAATGAAGCAAAAGTGAATCACCTATTACTTAATGTTATTAATGATTATTATTAATGTTTTTCTATACAATCATTACAATATATTATGTATATTTTGTATTTTTGTTTTTTTGCTGTTAGATATGGAAGGCTTCCACTGGTGAAGTATTGGAGTCATTTAGTGGTCACACTAACAGTATAACTCACTGTGTCATCAATGAAACTGGAGATCTACTAGTCACTGCATCTGATGATAAAACTTGCAAGGTAGGAGGAGCTTTTGTCATTGTAACCACACCCATTTAATATGTGCTTTGTAGGTTTGGGAATTTCCTAAAAAGCTTCTCTGTACATTCACTGCTCATCAAGATGGTGTTCAATCTTGTGATATTTCTTCCGATAACAAGTTCATTGTTTCAGCAGATATCGGCTCTGCTGTTAAGGTTATACAACATTTAATATCAGAGATGTGTGATGTATAAATATAATTAGTACTACACGCCATTGCTAGTGTAATTTATATGTGCGTGTGCATGTACTGTAGGTGTGGTCTAGTCGTAGCGGTGAGATCAAGGAGGAGTGGGATCATGGAGACTCTGGGATTGCATCATGTTGTTTTTCACCAACTGGTGACTTAATTGTCGTGGCAAGTCAGGACGGACTCATCTCTGTAATTATATATATATATATATATTTATTTATTTGCAGGGTTTGCTGCAGGGCATGCTAAAACTGTGGAAGGCTATAGCCCATGGTTTTTCCCAAAATTGGCTCCGAAATGACCCCCAATTTTTATTACATTTCCTGATACATATTGATGCCCTTATGCTATGTAGAAAGTTTGAGCCAATTCCGACAAATATTTTTCGAGTTACATGTATGGGCATTTTTGAGAACAAGCCAATTTTTTGAAAAAAAGCAAAGGCTATAGCCCATGGTTTTTTCCAAAAATTGGCTCTGAAATGACCCCCAATTTTTATTAAATTTTCTGATACACAGTGATGTACTTATGTTATGTAGAAGTTTGAGCTGTTTCCTACAAATATTTTTTGAGCTATAATTAAAGGAATTCTGCTTTTTTATATTCCATATTCTGATAGATTATTGTTACAATCTTTTTTATTTTATTTATGACTCCCTCTTACTGATACATACAGTTATATGATATGAATGGACTATTTGCTGCCACATTTCTAATAGTAGCAACTCCAGCCATTTCTCCAACAACCGAGAAACAGATTTCATTATTTCCTCCATCACGCACCACCTCAGTAGGCAGTGGTATGTCTTCATCTTTTACAGTCCGTAGTGCAGTGTTTAGTAAGGATGGGACTCTTATAGCAGCTGCTGTGGGAGACTGCACTGCTAAGGTACACGTAAATATTTAGTAATATATTACATAATATGCATGTACATGTACATGTAGGTTTGGTCAGTCGACACTAAGCAGATGGTTCATTCATTTCGACATGCTTCGGACGTTTTGTGTGTTGACCTATCGTTCGACTCAAGTCTACTTGTCACTGGGTGTTTCTCAGGGACTGTAAATGTAAGGCTATGATGTCATCATGATGTCACGTGATGTCATTATTTGTAGGTGTGGTCACTGGCTAAAGGTGTACCTATACTTGAGATACCCTTGCATTATGATTATGTTAGTTGCGTTCAGTTCTCACCTCAAGAGAACATAATCCTCTCATCCTCAGGTAGTAGTGTTAAGGTTAGTCACATCTTCCATTATAATATACATGTATGTACATGTCTTGTCTTGTACCCCCCCTCTCTCTCTCTCTCTCTTCTCTCAGTTTATACACAATCAGGAGACAGAGAGTAACTCGTGGAAACTCTATCTTCGTCGTTTTGTGACTCGGTTCACTCAGAAAGACTCTGAATACATACCAAGCATTGTCTGCTATGACACCATCAAGAGAAGACTAGAGGTACTACCCTAACTCCTCCACTTCTGATCCCTTGTACTAATTTCAGCATATTTTATATTCTTGATTTAGTTAACCAATTGTGTTATTAATTTGTCTCTGTCACTTTAATGTACATGTACATGTACATGTAGTAGTTGAAATTATATATTATTTATTTGTTAGATATGTGAAGGGTTGGATGGACAAACTGTTCAAGTTATAAACACGTTCTCTGGACTGAAGCCTCGCTCCTGGGACATGTCACATGACAGGAAGTTGGTTGCTATGGGTTACGATAACGGAGCATTACAAGTAATGAAATACATTATTCATTGATAGAGTTTATAAGTCAAGACTTGGCACAGTCATTAATAATTTTATTACTTAAATAAATAAACAGTTCTCTATTATGAAAACCTGTTTAAATGCATGCATAGTATAGTACTATTATTATTATTATTATTATTGCTATTATTTTTATTGTTCTTATTGTTGTTGTTATTATTATAACAAGAAACAAAAAACAACAACAATAACAAAAAAGAGGAGCCCACAAAAGATAAATTATTATAATTATTATTATTGTTATTATTATTATTATTGTTGTTATTGTTAGGTGTTGGATGTGAATACACAGTCAACTGTTTGGCTCAAAGAAGGAGCTCATGATAAGTCAGTCCTTGATTGTTTCTTCTCTCCAGATGATGGAAAGTTACTTTCATGCGATGAGACCAACCACAAGGTAATGATAATAAAACCAGCTTCCGCCATGTTTACTTTATTGTGTAGGTGTGGTCTGTTGCCAATGGAGATGAGTTGTCATGCCAACCAGACTGTTCCGATTTTAGAACCATGCCTTGTGTATTTTATAATGATAGTAATAAAGTTGCTTCAGCTGCCCCTGGACATGTACTGGTGAGTATCTACTCTAAGCTGTTGCTTCAAAATTTGGCTAAAGATCACAGGCTATTATAGTACAGGGTGGCTACGAGAGAATTTTTCATTTTTATAATTTTTGTCTGATACGCATGTCCTTATGTTGTGTAACCTGATTCCAATTAAAATTGGATTTTTTTCATTTGTAATTATAATTATACTTTAATTACTGTAATTGTATGCTTGACTGTTCATATACATGTACATGTATCTTAACTGCCTCTCTCTCCCTCTCTCTATAAAGGTATGGGATTCCTCTACTGGGAGTAAACTGTTCAGATGTGATGGAATATCAGATAACCCACAAGAATCAATACTTTGTGTTAATATCAGTGGAGATAACACGAGATTGATTGCATCAGCATCAAATGGAAGAATAGCTGTACGTGTCCTTTAACTACAACAAAAGCTTCTAAAAAATTAATTGATCTCAAAAAATCCCCAATTTTGAATTTAATATAAATAGAAAGTTTGGTATTAATAATTTTATATTGTTCTTATCACTCTTAGGTGTGGAGTGCAGTCAATGGTGATAGACTATATACCAGAGCTTATGTCTCATCATCTGCTGGCTACAGTCTGTCACGTTTCTGTTCTTTGAATTATGATGGCACCATAGCAGCTGTGGGCCATGATGACTCAGCTCTCATGGTAGGGACAACTATAATACATATAGAATGTGACACATTCTACCTTCTCTTTCTCTCTCCTACCCCACTCTCTCCCTCCCCATCTCACTCTCTTCTCCCTCTCTTCCCCCCCCTCTTTTTCTCCCTCTCTCTCTCCTTCTCTCCCCCCTCTCTCAATAGATATACAATTTCAATGGAACTGATACCAAGTGTTCCAGTTCAGGTAGTAGTGCGTGGATGATAAATACACAATTCTCTCCTAACAATAAACAAATTGTTACACTATCTGACTCTATACAGGTAAACCCCTAATGTATATGTACATGTAATAATGTATAATACATGTGTGCATGTATTGAGTAGATGATATTGCATATAGTGTATTGTGTGTGGGTTAGGGTATGTATTGTGTATGGATTACATCAAAACTTCATGTATTTCATCATTGTTTATCATGACACGTGTACACCAACACACTCATAATAAATGCACATAACAAAGCATTAGTTTATTGGTACTATTAGTAAGTATGTAGTATATATTTGGCAGTAGTACCTGTCTCATTTCTTTGAACTATGTACAGTAGGTTATCAGCCTCCATTGTAGTAAAGAGTGTGAATATTTTTTAATTGTGTTTGAGATGCTAGCAACCAATTCACAATCTCTTTATTCTTAGAAATCCTTAATGTATTAGTGTGTGCCTGATCATTTGATGCTTTGCATGTGTTTAACATGAGTATAGTGCTAATGATTCACATTAGATTGTGTGAATGACAATGAGTCATCTTGTGAATGCTATAAAGCAGAACTATGAATATTATACTACAGTGATGTCAAGTCATTTTTCCTGAATCATAGTTATGACTGTTACTTCATGTTTGAAATAGTTTATTGTCCCTCCTTAATTTTTTTCTCTTTTAACTTTGCCTCTTTGTCTCTCCTCTTCTCTTTTTCTCTCTCCCTTTTAGTGGTGGACAATTGATGGCTCAAAGAAGAAGCAGTTTCTTTTGAAGAGCACATTTGGGAAACATCTTTGCTTCTCGCCTGATTTTAGTCTTTTTATAACCATCGATAACACTGGACTTTTGTACATTTTAAAATTTCAAGACTTTCAAAAATAAAACACTAAAATATAATAACTTTTTAAATATACCAGTAATATAATATACATGTAAGCATTTTCTCTCTCTTACATTAAGTATAAATTGTGGTGTGATTTATTGTGCACAATATTTTTAATAATTATAGTAAAAATAAATATAATAATAATAGTTTCGTGCGTATTTAGCCTGCAGCCGAATATCAGCATTATATTATTTTATAGGTTGAATCAATTCACCTTTAAATGATTATTATTGTACATCCACTGAAACTGGAGATTCGTCATTACCATGATCACTTGTACCCTGTAGCTTCATTTTCTCTAATTTCTTGAGGAGACAAGGCCCAATAGCTTTACCAATAGTCTCTATTCTCTTTTGAAATCGATCCCTGTCAAGCCCCAGCTGCTCCCAGTGTCCCTTCCTGGCTGTTCTATACGCATATCTCCATGTGACCATGTGATGGACTTGAAATAAATGAGGCTCTGGTTTAAATTGGACTCTCTTGCAGCTGCTAGGCTGAAGAGTCTGATCCTTGCTTTCTTCCTCAGCTACAGTGTCTTCTTCGTAATCCCTGAGATGATGGTGGGCAGGTGGTAAGTCTATGTCCTCCATTAAGGTTACTTCGCTGCCAGAGTCACTGTTAATGGCATCAACGGGAGAAGAAAGAGGGCATGGACGAAAGAAAGAGTTTGTTCCGTTAAAGCAGGCCTGCTGCTCAAACTCATGCCATAATCCTTCGTCAAAGACGCATGCACTTTCCTTCTCCTCTTCCTCCTCATCTTCTTCTTCTCCGTTGCTGCTGCTGTCAAAATTCGAGCGCTCACAAAACCCGCTCTCATCGCTCGAGAAGGAGGAGACATGTTGAAGGAAAGGAGGTGGAGGGGGAGCAAGGAGACACATACGAGGGATCACAGGATCTGAGGAAGAGAGAGAGACAGAGACACAAGCAAACTGGACAATAAAGTCATCATCATCATCATCATCATCTTGAGGATTCTGTTCATTATATTCCTCTTCTTCTCCTTCGCTCTCCCCCTCCTCCTCCTCCTCATCAAGTTGACATTCATAATCCATATCATTGTTACCATAACTACATTCACACTTTAAACAGAATCCACTCCAAGAATCAGCATCATCATCATCATCATCATTAATACCATAATAGCAGGTGCAGGTGAATGCTTCCTCTGTTGTAGTAGTTCTAGGATAATTAGATTTATCATCTCCATTTGTAGAATTAGAGGAATCTGTTACTTCAATCTTAATCTCTGGCTTCTCCTGTTTTGTCTTGAAATCCTTTGATCTTCTTTGTAGTAGGTAAAGTAGTAAAGCTAGTCTGCTCCAGGGAAGAAAAGATGGCTGCTGATAGTTTATACTGACATCACAAGGAACTGACACGTTCATATATGTATCTTTAGAAAAGGCGAGTACACTGATCATGTGACCATTGCTTAGCAACACATCACTTCTACTGGGCTTTAACATAATGTCACTGCTAGATGGTATAACACATTGATCTCTAAAGGAATCCTGTGTCAAAAGTGAAGATGGGGAGGATGAGAAATTTGATGAGAAGGGAGGCCCTCCTCCATATGTAACTGGGGGTGTGGGTGTAACTTCTGCCATGGAACTCTCTCAGGTTCACAGTGATGTGTGGGAAAGGCTAGGCTGGCTATCAGTAGACTATTAAACACGTAGCAGACGGCACGACTATTTCCACAACGACAGTAGGGAGTATCAATCTGGCTGGTTCTCTTCCTACACTGGTGGGGTGTATTAGCCATGAAGTGAGAAAGACTTTTCTTATTGAGAAGAACAGGAGCCGTCGATAGACTAACTCGAGATAAAGTTATAGAGTAGAGACTTCTGTAGTCCTTGAGTGATCACTGACAAAGTTTCACCTTCTACTTCTTGTTGCTTAGTAAAGTTCTAAAGTGTTGATGTCTTGAACTCTTGATGATTTTATAGTTAATTTTGATTATAACTATTACATAATAAGTTAATAACTAAATGATGCAATGTTTAATGAATCTATTAATAGTAACATAGCAGGAATCAAATCCGGTTCATTTTTAACTTTGATGATTGAGAGGTTTTAAAAATAATAAATATAATAGCAGTTGATATCTGTTACTCTTAGTAGCTATTTCCACATTCTTTTATTCAATCCTCCTAATAAAAATGAAACATTATTATTAATAATAATCAATTTATAATGTGAAAAACAATTGCTAAATTAATTCTTAAAAATTGCATAAGCCAGACTGGTTTAAAAATCACAACTCATTATTCATCATGATATGGTGTCTTTGGCTTTATTTTGAAAGCAACTTTAAAAATTTGTAAAAATCTAATTTTTTTGATCGAAATTAGCTTATACACCCATAAGTTCATGTATCAGAAAAAATTGTAACAACCAAAAACTTTCTCCTTTTAAGTTTTGGCAAAATTTGGCTTGAGACCATGAATTTTGGCCTAATTAAAAAAAACTTTTTGAAAATTTGTAAAAAAATTTTGATCGGAACCATCTCAAACTTTCTACATAGCACAAAGACATCAATCAATGCGTATCAGAGAATGTAATAAAAATTGGGGGTAATTTTTTGACCAATTTTTGGAAAAACCATGCTTTTTTCCAAAAATTGGCTTGTTTTAAAAAATGTTAATAACTCGAAAAATATTTTTTAGAATAAGCTCAAATTTTTCACATAGCATAAGGACATCAATATGTATTAGAAAATGTAATAAAAATTGGAGGCAATTTTTTGGCCAATTTTTGGAAAAAACCATGGGCTATAGTCCATGCTTTTTTCCAAAAATTGGCTTGTTTTAAAAAAATGTTAATAACTCGAAAAATATTTTTTAGAATAAGCTCAAACTTTCTACATAGCATAAAGACATCAATATGTATTAGAAAATGTAATAAAAATTGGGGGCAATTTTTTGGCCGATTTTTGGAAAAAACCATGGGCTATAGTCCATGCTTTTTTTCAAAAATTGGCTCATTTTAAAAAAATGTTAATAACCCGAAAAATATTTCTTAGAATAAGCTCAAACTTTCTACACAGCAATATGTACTAGAAAATGTAATAAAAATTGGAGATCATTTTGGAGCAAATTTTTGGAAAAAAAACCTGGGCTATATAGAGTGCAGGGTTTTTGGCCAGATTTTTGAATAACTTTTAAAATTCGTAAAAAAATTCAATTTTGATTAAAATCCACTCTAAATTTCTACACAACATAAGACCATGTAAAGTATACACATTAAAAATTCTCCCCTAGTCACAAAAATTTGGCCAAAAACTCTGTACTATAGTGCAGGGTCTTTGACTTCAAAAATTCATATAAATCCAAATTTGATCGAATCAGTTCTAACTTCCATGCATCAAAAATTGAACTCATCAGAATTAGCTTAAGGAGTGTTGCACTTTATTTTGTGCAAGGAATTCATTAAATATAATTAAAAACCCAAAGATATAAGTAACATTAGTTTCAATACTAATAAAGAACACACTAATTAATAGTAAAATACACACATACACTACATGTACATGTACATGTACATATACAGACTAGAAATGTAGAGATATCTTTGATCATTGACCCTCCAGTCTATTAACACAACCAAGGGAGGACATATGGACATGCTAAGCTAACAACACTAATAATACATTAAACTATATACAACTGATACACTGCTGACAATCTACTAATGGAGAAGCCACAATACACAGTACTAGCCTTATGACATACACAGTACATACTAAGAGCCTGTATATAATATATGGTAAGTATAAGGTGTTAGGTGTATGGATATATGAGTGTATATGAGTGCCTTTATGTGTGTGTATACATAGTCTGTGGGTCTGGAATGTTGTAAGGATTGCAAGTGAATGTCATCAAACTGGCGCAATGCATTAAAAGAGGCAGGCGCTAGCTAATGACTTCATTGAATATTCATGAGGTAGGTGAATATTCATAAATTATACAGCAATAAAATAATTATTATAAGCAAGCAAATGAAGTCCTTCTCCTCTCTCTCTCCTTCTCTTTTTTTATCTTAAAAACTATAAAATAGTACATGTACATCAGTATCTACTTTCAACCATATAGTACAATTCAATACTCAGTATAGATGGATGGTATACACACAAGATCTACATGTACATGTAAGTACAAGACTTCAAGCAACATATGAACATATATGTACATGTACATATATATGTAGGTTATTCATTGGTTAGTTCATTCCATCAATGAAACCTTAAGATACAGTGGAAGAGGGAGGGACTCCTAACGCAGCACTTTACTCAACTCTATAAACAATTCACATTCATTAGGAGACAAACATGTCTCAGGTGGGCCGGAATGGGAGTGACGTAGTGGGGCTTCCCAAGGGACTGGCCTATTGATACCACGTCAACACAATTCCTCCCTATATAGCGGAGGGTCGGGCTGAGGGTAAAAAGACGAGACTAGGCCCGAACAAACAAATCCTTGAACAGCTTCAGGGGAAGAACATCATTTAAAGAGAAGAAGAAAATCACTTAAAAAGAAGAGACAAAATATGCCTGGGTAGGGAGAAAAAAATATAGTGCATATTATAGTAACAATGTTAATCTATAGTTCTGAGCCAAGAGATCTGACTACAGGAGAAAAAGTAGCTTGTGTTGTCACTGTAGGTCTATATTACCTTTATCTCAAGGCCAAGGGTGACGTCTAGCAAGATACAAAAAGGCCATTTGGCATTGTTACAAAATGCCACTCGTGGATAACCAAACATTACTGCTTTTATCGTAATTTTTACCTACTTTTAATGACATTTCTAAGTATACACTGAAATTATTTTTTACTTTAATCATTGAATTTACATTGTCAACACAAAATAGAGCAAACAAGTGCACGTGCATGGCATCATTAGTAAGCTCTCGTACCCTCGCTCCCACAAGTTATGGTCAATAACATGTAGAAGGGATTTTCCCGGGGGAAAGTCCAAGTATCGGCAATTCTTGAGCAATAACAATTAAGTCGTGGGTTCCAACTAAGAAAAGAAGTGAAGGATAACAATAACAATAATGACAAAGTAAGGCGGACCTTTTGCCAGGTTCTATTAACAATACACTACAATATAGTGGACAGATATCAGACGAAGGAAAGAAGGTCAGAAAAGGTGCAATGATTGGAGGAGCCAGTGGAGCTGCCATAGGAGTAATAGGAGGACCAATTGGAATAGTCATTGGAGGAGCAGTGGGAGCTGGAGTAGGTGCATTAGTGGGGTATCTGAAATTCCAACACTCACACTAACAGCACAAGAAATATTAGTATTGTACTGCTTGTACATGTACATGTACATGTATGTCAAAATTGTCAAACTGAGAAATTTAACGAAGATATAAAATAAATAAAATAATTATTGTACATGTACATGTATGTGATTGTTTTGTGGTGAATACGTTGAGTGAATCCATTAGTGAATCCATTAGTGGTGATACCCAGAGTCATTGTAAGCCATTCCTACTGTGAGGAGAATGGGCGTCAATGTTATAGGCTCAACCAATGAAAAACAACACGTGATATGGAGGACTCTCCCTTGAGGATTCATGACAACGCCTAACCAAATCAGACGTAAAAACAATTGCCGTAAAAACAAAATGCCGTAAGCAAATGTAATTACTTGACAGTTATAACTGTTTTAATTTTAGAGGAGAGAATACCTCAGATGAAGGAAATCTGGTAGGAATTGTGAAGAGAGGATTTGAAGGAGCAGGAGAAGGTGCAATTAAAGGAATATATGGTGGACCACCTGGGATAATCATTTGCACTCTTGTTGGGTTTGCTGTTGGAATTTTTAAGAATAATAAAGTTTCCAGTTCTTCCAATACATAATATCATGTGTTTTTAATGCATTATAAAAATGAAAACAATTGTAAAGTAAATACCATGTACAATGCAAAAGGCCATTAAAGGAGCAACGTTCATTTATCGACACAACCTACACTGCAAACTACTCCCACTGTATAAAGATGGGAGTCAACTTTAAAATGGGCACAGCCTACAATATTACCCGTAAAGTAAACAGCATTAGGGACCTACTCAGCAAAAGGTCTTGGAAAGTGAAGTAAAAGCAAAAATTTGGACTTTAAAACAGTCAAACAAAGTACAAGCCTTATCATTTTAAACCAGAATGCCAGGGTAAGTTAATCTATCATTTAAATATTTCATCAGCTTCCATAGACCGAATCCACCAGTGGAAGTAACGTACATGAAAATAGGTGCTGCGTCTGGAGGAGCAACTGGCGCCACCATAGGAACAGTTGTTGCTGGACCTGTTGGAACTGCAGTTGGTGGATTGGTTGGAGCTGGTGTTGGTGCTGTTGTTGGACTCTTTGCATCAAAATAGCTTCTTTTTTAATATACACAATGTCTGTGTGTTGTTCTTGATAGTTTTAGTTTAAACTTTTAGATGAATGTACTAATATAAACATGGTTGTATCACGGGGTTTCAACACACAAAGTGATTTTTAAAGGTTTCCAAAAGACTTGAGCGACATCGTCACTATAAAGTTATGCTAGCTCCCCCCACAAAGAACTAGTCACGTGAGCAATATTAAAATCACCTGACCCAAACGATAACAAAATATGCAAAGAGGAGAGGAAGTACCCTAGCACTAGCAACACAGAAAAAGGACGGTTGAAGAAACTAATAAAGTGCAAGGGGAAGAACTGCTTTCATAACAGCAATCAATAGCAGACCATTAAAATGCCGTAAGTGACTTTTACTAATACAGTGTCCTCTAATATCTCTATAGTGGCCCTAACAAGAAAAACTACTCCAAATGTGAGAAGTTCTTGATATGTATAACATGTGGCCTAGCTTATCTCTGCCTCTAAGAAAGCTCAACTACTGTACTGTGAAAACTCAATTATTATAGTGTGAATGCTGATACTAAATAGTAGAACTTATAAAAACTTTTATATGATTTTTTATCATCATTGCTGCTACTTTATAATTGTTCGAAAAATTTTGCATTAGTCAAAATTCCATGCTCAAGTTAAATTGCTTCTAGCAACTATTACACAAATGATATTGAATTTCTAGCAATCAAATAACAGAATCAGTTCTAGTATGACAAGACACACATGCATAGACACAGTCTCTCAAATGCAACATACATAGCCAGTACATGTAACAACATACAAATAAAAGAATTATCGTAAAATGCAACCACCAAGTACTGTATAAAGGAATAGTATTCATTTATCGACATAACCCATACCACATTGATAGCAAACTACTCCCACTGTATAAAGATGGGTGTCAACCTTAAAATGGGCACAGCCTATGATATTACCGGTAGAGTAAACAGCATTCAGCATTCGGGGATTACCCTGGGAAAACTCACGGCAAGCAAAGTAAAAGTATTTTTAAAAACGAAAAATCCGACTTTTAAAACAGTCATAAACAGAGTAACGAGCCTCATCATTTTAAACAAAAATGCCAGGGTAAGTTAATCTATTACTTAGCTTTTATCGTCTTCAATAGAAAAAAATTCATCAAATGAAGTAAATAGTGCAATCGAAGGTGCTATCATTTTAGGGGGAGTTGGAGTCGTCACAGGAACAGTTGTTGCTGGACCTGTTGGAACTGCAGTCGGTGGATTGGTTGGAGCTGGTGCTGGTGTTATTATTGGACTCTTTGCATCATAATAGCTTCTTTTTAAATATACATGTGCATTATGTCTGTGTGATGTTCTTAATAGTTTTGGTTGAATTCTTTTACAAAGAGTATGTCATAAGATGAATGTACCATACAAATGTATGGTTGTATCATGAGGTTTCAAAAACACAGAGCGAGTTTCAAAGGTTTTTAAAAACTGAAGTGATGTTGTCACGAGAGCTAAGCAAGCTCCTCCACAGCATCACGTGAGCAATATTAAAATCATCTGACCCAAACGATACAAAATAACCCTAGCAACACAAAAGAAGAGGCAATTGAAGAAACTAATAAAGTGCAAGGGGAAGAACTGCTTTGATAACAGCAAATCCATTAAAATGCCGTAAGTGACATTAATGATACAGCGTCCTCTCATAACATTATCTTCATAGTCGTGAAAATGAAAGAAACTACACTGATTGTGAGAAGTTTTTGATATGTATAACATGTGGCCTAGCTTATCTCTGCCTTTAAAAAAACTGAACTTAAATACATTATAGTCCAAATGCTGATACTAAATATTAGTGCTTATAATTTAGATGTAATTTTTATCCTTGCTGCTACTTTACATTTTAACAAAAGTTTTGAATAAGTCAAAATTCCATGCTTAAGTAGAATTGTTTCTGGCAGTTATTGCAGAAATGATACTGACTTTCTAGCAATCAAAGAATATAATCAAGCTCTAGTATAGCAGCACAAACATAGACATAGGCATAGTTTTTCAAATACAACATACGCAGCCTGTACATGTAACAACATACAAATAAAAGAACTATCATAAAATGCAGCTACCAAGTACTTTATGAAGGCCATTAAAGGAACAGCAGTATTCATTTATCGACACAACCTATATCACATTGGTAGCAAACTACTCCCACTGTATAAAGATGGGCGTTAACTTCAAATTGGACATAGCCGGTAAAGTAAACAGCAAGGGGGATTACCCCTAAAAAATCCTCGGCAAACAAGCAAAGGTATTAAGAAAAATTTGGACTTCAAAGAAGTCATAAACAGAGTAACAAACTTCATCATTTAAAACCAGAATGCCAGGGTAAGTTAATCTAGCATTTAACAATTTTGTCAGCTTCCATAGGAGGAATCGATCAAATCAAGGAAAGAATGTAGTCATGTGTGCTGTGGGTGGAGGAGCAGTTGGTGTATGTGTTTCTCTTGGAATGAAGAAAGGAGCGGTTGTAGGGACAGTGATTGGAGGGCCCGGTGGGGCCGTGGTTTGTGGATTGGTTGGAGCTGGTATTGGTGCTTACATTGGATCTAAAATATAGTGACTTAATTTTAAATAAAAAATACGTATATATGTGTATATGCTGCTCTTGATAGTTTGTGTTAATGCTATAACAAATTTTAATGCACAGAAACAACTAAGACAAAGAGTAATAAGATTTAGTATGACAGCACACACACACACACACACACACACACACACACAAACACAGTCTCTCAAATGCAGCATACAAAGCAATTACATGTAACAAATAAAAGAATGTTTCAAAGTGATAAAATGCAAATACTACATAAAAACCATTGTAGGAGCAATCGACACAACCTAAACCACATTGGTAGCAAACTACTCCCACTGTATAAAGATGGGCGTCAACTTTAAAATGGGCACAGCCTACGATATTACTGGTAAAGTAAACAGCATTCGGGGATTACCCAGGGAAAACTCTCGCCAACGAAGTGATAGTATTAATAATTAGAAAAGAAATCACTTGGGCTAAAAAAATTAGCCGGCTATAAGCAGAGTAAGGAAGCCTGCCATTACTAAGAGAATAAAAATGAGGTAAGTCCATTATATTCTTATTTAATCTCATCATCTTCAAAAGTGGAAACACATCAAATGAAGGAAGAGATATAGCTATAGGCGCTGGGGTTGGAGCAGTAACTGGAGTAGGAGGTGTTGCTGCTGGGATACAAACTGGAGCTATTGTAGGATCATTTGCTGGTCCAGTTGGGTTTGTGGTTGGTGGAGCAGTTGGAGCTGGTGTTGGTGCTATTGTTGGACTTATTGTATCAAAAAAATGATATCAAATATATACATGCATGTATTTGTGTTGCTCTTGATTGTGCTATCATTGCTTAGTACAATGTGTACATGTATATGCTTAGTGTTTAATTTTTTTTCAAATAAACTAGTTATAATAATAATGACTGCCAGTAGGAGGAGAGAGTCAAAGTATCATAAATACTGACGTCAGTTTATACATGTACATGTACATGTAGATCACATGATCAGATGATCACGCCAGATCCAAGAATGCTTGACGTGGTCAATAACACTGTGCTAGTAGACACCTCATCGTCAGCAAATCTAGGTCTTCCCTCCTGACATTAGTGGCTAATAATAATATCGTGATAAGCTCAGTAATAAGAATGTCCTCACCGTGAGTTAACAGTATTATTCCAATAACCAGTTTACAAATGCATACACACATACATGTATGTAGTTCAGAATCAGATGAAGCAAAAACAGTAAGGAAAGGTAAAATAGTAGGAACATTGTTAGGTATTGGAGGAGGAGCAGGAGCAGGAGTTGGAGTGGGAACCTTTGGTGGACCTATTGGCATGGGTGTTGGTGCAATAGTTGGAGCAGTGGTTGGTGGTATTGGTGGATACTTTACAGGAGAAGTTGCTGGATATAAGATAGCAAAAAAATAATTAGACAAGGAATAACTATGTCATGATTGAATTCACACAACTTGCTGCCTTTTAATGAAACCCCTCATAGCTAGTTATAAATGATATTTGTTTGCCTCCTTCACATTATTTGTAATCTTTGCTGCTATTCATGATATTAAATATTAATTTTTGTACAAGTCAAACTCAGTCGACTCAAGTCAAATCATTTCCAGCAGCTATTGCAAAAAAGCATTGACTTTCTAGCAAATAAGTTTGAAAATCATGCACTCTTGCACAGTAACAGCAGACACACAAACAAACACACACACTCTTTCTCTAATACATGTACAACACAGCAAGACTGTATGTGTGCATACAATCATACAAATTCATAAATAAAACAGTTTAATTACAACCAGCGATAATTACATGTAATACATTGTACTTAAGTGTGTATGGTTTAGGATTGACTGGCAGCTTGCACCATACACACTGAAGTATCAATACACTGCTCACTCTTATCTAGTATTAGCTAAACAATATCTGCACAGTGGTAATGCATTACTCACAGTGGGGCTTTAATGGAGACTGCAGCAATGGTCACTGGCAGACTGGATAACAATAAACTGAAGATAAAGAGAGTCTTTAAGTTCTCCTTCCCTCTTCACTCATCAGTCTCATGGTGAACCATGTGACACCAAAATGAGACAGTCACTAGTCAATTGAAAAACAAAGAGAGAGAGAGAGAGAGAGAGAGAATTAGGAGGTTATAAACTTACTAAAGGAACTTTGAAAACACATGTTAAAGTGGGTGGGACAATTATAATAACTTAATAACTGGATTAATAACTGGAGTAGGTGTGGCCAGTCAATTTATCATTAATAATTATTAGTAGTTAGTAATAATAATTATTAACAAGAATGTGGATAATTTCACAACCAATTTAAAAAAAAACATTGTATAAAAAATTGTATAAAAAAACATTTGTAAAAATTTAGAACATCAAAATGATACAGTGTGGTTGTTGGCCAAATTTTGGAGGAATTTTGAAAATTCATAATTAATCAGAATATATAAATCTATCAAAAAATGGAAAATTCTCTTCAAGCAAATTTTATAAAATTTAGCTGAAGACCCAACCAACTTCAGTCCTACATACAGTACATGGTTTTTGGCCAGATTTTTGGGCGACTTTAAAATTCACAAAAATGTCTTATTGATTAGAATCTGTTCAAACTTCCTATGCAATACTAAGAACAGTATGTGTATCTGAAATATTATAAAAGTAAAGAATTCTCTTCTAGTCATGACAAAATATTGACTCATTCTTAATCTCAAAAAAGATACATGTATTTGTTGGAAACAGCTCAATAGGATAAGAAAATCAACATGTATCAGAAAATGTAATAAAAATTGGGGGGTCATTTTGGAGCCATTTTTTGGAAAAACCATGGTTTACATGTATATACAGCCTAGCTCTGATGCCCATATTAATATTTCTTAAATTTAATCATTTTTAACTTTATTTTTCCCTTATCATTTTATTTTTTGTGTCTCTAACTTTACCTTACCCTATTTTTAACTTTGCTTTGTTTTTCCTTGCCCTACGAGTTTTATTTCCATTCTTTATTTACAATAAATTTTTCGAGGCTTTCCTTTTTATCAAAAATTGGCTCATTCTTTAAAATGCTCATAACTCGAAAAATATTTGTCA